AGGAAGAGTAGAAGTTCATTTTTGTGTGAAATTCTGGGTTTATAAAGTAGCACTAGACTTAGTGCAGGGAAACACAGTTCTGGTTCTGGTGTTGCCACTGGCTGGCTGTGTGGCATTGAACAAGTCACCTCACCTCTCTGAGCTTCAGTTTCCTCAGTTATAAAATATGGAGAGTAATATTGTTTCACTTATTACTGAGTTGGTATGAGGATTAAATCAGATATTGTGTAACCTGTTTTCTTCATAATTTTAAAAACAGAGGCAGGTATAAAAGAAACGTTTTCTGCCCTCTTTCCTGCTGCCTCTGTCTCTGAGTTTAGGTTTCAGTGAAAAATGGGAGGGTTGAGCCAGATGATATCACATTTCTACTGTCTCTGTGAGCCTGTGGTTTCTATAAAAATTGCAGCTTGTTTTTAAAATCCAGTAATTTCATTGCAACTAACTTAATAGTCAGTTATTTCATTAAAACAGAATCTTGGATTTTGAAGACTGTATTTTTATAATTATTTTCATGGAACTGTAGAGCTTAGAAAGAAGTTAAAAGGCTCTTTACATAATTCACAGTTCTAGGACAGCTAGTATGTATCGGGGTTTTACTGAATTCTGAATTAGGAGAGTTTGACAGAGCTGGTTCTAATAGACACAATATTTGCCACCACAAATGGTCTTTTATCCTTTATCTAAATCTTTCTTACAAAATTTAAGTCCCTTCTTGACTTGAGAGGTATAGTGAAGGTGGGGCATATCTTAATTGAGTTTAGCTAAGTCACTTTTCAATGCGTTCATCTTCGTACTAAGAAAAGCTATTTTCTTTTCCTTTTGTCATTTAACTTTCAGAGACGTTCTAATCATATGTGACATACAAACTGATCGGTAAACATATTTAATGCGTAAATCTATCTTCCTGTTCAATGTAGGTCTCATTTAAAAAAAAATCTCAGCATGCTTATAATAGAATACCAATATAGTATAAATTTATGTATTTATGCATTACTCTTATCATTTTCGAGTTCTATGTCATTATTTGTGTTTTTTATTTAAGTTTGGACTTTTATCTCTAAAGCTAATCTGGCATAAACCACTACAAAAGATTGAGGGCATGTGCTTTTTGTCCAATTTAATTAAAAGTCAACAAATAACAAACAAGCAGTATGGCATAGTTATAATTTATTAGAAAATGACAGCTGAGAAAAAATCTGCACTTTTGTTAACATGTTAAGTGACGATAGCTTATATCTTGCCTGAAAAGTGATGTTACCAAAATGAGAGAAGCAGCATGTCCTTCAAATTATTCAGTCAGTAAGCTTTGATGTGACCCTAAGGAGATGATACCAAGTGCTATTACAATAATATACCTAAGAAATTGTTTGTGTATATATTAACCATGGCCTATGCTCAAATAGAAAATATTGCATGTGACATGTATATCTATACACAAATCAACAGTTGGGGTGTTTACAGGTATAAATATCATCTATATTTGATAGGGCATAACACTTTTATTTTTTGCTTATTCTTCAAGAATGAATATGAAAATCTTTGAAAATTCCTACTTAAGTATAGTAAAAATATACTTTGATGATACTAGCCAACCTAGGATTATTTGACTTAAACACATGAAATACATGAAATATACCCATTACCAGTCCTGTGTATCTCATGACCACAATCAGGTCTGGGATGCCAAATGACTGCATTTCACGTAACGCTGAACGTAGCCACCATGATGGGCGTGGGCACTGTAAAATACTGCTCAGCGCTTGGAAAGCTGTGCCTGCAGAGCATGCATATGTATGTCGCAGTTAGAAGAAAACAAGTGATGGTGTAATATCCTGAGAGGATGTGTCATTTAGGGAAATTATTTTTGTTGGAAAGGTGCAATTACAGGAGTCCAAAGAACAAATGTATTTATAAAGCACTAAGCATTATAATGTATATCTTGACAAGGAAATATGTATACAGTTGCTGAAAATCGGCTAAGGAATACTAGTTCAATCATTTCAGTTTGTGTTAGGGAATTCTGTAGTGAAGCCACAGGGCAAGGATTTTATTATGCTGCTGTTTTATACATGTATCCCTTTGAGTATATATTAACTGGGAGCTATAAATTACTTGCGTTTGCAGATAGCTTTTGTAACTCTTAAGATAAAATGCAAAGTCAGCACTATGGACATATATATATATATATATTTTTTTTTTAAGGAATGATTCCACTGAAAGTGTAATTGATTTTCCTCTTCCAAAGTATTTATTTTTTTATTTACACGTATATTAAATGTGCATGTATACCTTATTAAGGTTTTTAT